ACTACACTTCAAGACCCTGTCTCAGGAAAAAAAAAAAAAACAACAAAAAAAGGCCAGGTCTTATCCTCATCCCTCTTAATCTTTGTTTCAGATCCTGCCTCAGCCTCCTGAGTACCACAGTTACCACGCACAGCTATCTCTCAATTTTACACGGAGTGGCAAGATTTCATGTCTGCAACCTCCATCCATTCTCTGAAAGGAATATGCTCAGAGTGTGGAAAAGATGCAGAGTTGGCCCTTTTACTTGCCCGGGTTGTGGTTTTTCCAGGATCCCCCCCCCAAAAAAACAAAACTAAACTGGCTAAGTGTGGTGTTGCATGCCTATAATCCTAGCGCTGGGGAGGCTGAGGCAGGAGGATCTCGGGGAGTTTGAGGCCAGCCTGAGTTACACAGCGAAACCCTGTCTTTGAGTAACAGATTTTAAAAAAGAAAAAACGGAAATAGCCCATCCTCAAGGTCCTGTCCAGCTTTGTGACTGCGAGGCTGCAGTTTCCCGCTCAGCAGGGCAGAGCTGGGTAGTGAAGCGGAGGCTGTGCTGGCGGCGTCCCAGGAGGGTGGCTTCCTGAGGCTCCGGAAAGGCAAACGCAGAAGGGACTGCAGGCTGGCATCGGCCCAGCCCGCGGCCGAGCAGGGCGGCCAAGGCCCCTTCCCTCCCCAAAGCCGCGGCCGCAGCGGGCCCTCGGCGCCCCCGCCGCAGTCAAAGCCTCCAGCGCCCCGCCCATCCACGTGGCCCTGCCTCCCGTCCCGGCAGCCCCCGCGGGAGCCCCAGCTCGGCACGTGACCGACGGCGGGGTTTCCTTCCCCGGCGCCGTGCTGGGGCCCCGCTGACGACTGAACACGCGTGCCCCCTGCAGGCAGACGGTGGGACAACAGCGGGGCGGGGTCGAGGGCTTGCACGCAATAGGACAGGGTGGCTGCTTCTTTTTCGTGTTTGTTCTCTGGGTGGCTGCCCCTGCTTAACAACGTGGTTTTTTAGCCGCTCAGTTCCCCCGCTCATAACTTTAAGAGTTCCCCATTGAGAGATGAGACAGCCAGGCGCAGTGGCCCACACCTGTAATCCCAGCCCTTCATGAAGCTGGGGCAGAAAGATGGCAAATTACAAACCCAGCATGAGCAATTTATGTATTTATTTTTGGTATCGGGAATCGAACTCATGACCCTGTACTTTTTTTTTTTTTTTTTTTTTTTGAGACAGGGTCTTCCTATGCAGTTCAGGCTAGCATTGAGCTCACTTTGTAGCTCACTTTGTAACTCACAACAATCCTGCCTCAGCCTCCCCAGTGCTGGGATTACAGGCGTGCACCACCACACCTGGCATGACCCTGTACTTGCTAGGCAGGCGCTGTGCCACTGAGC